CAATTATTATATTATATACATATAATTTTTTCATTGAAGAGACATTTTATATCATAAATTTTTTGTTTTCTATAATAATGCAATATGAGATGTATTCACCCTATTTTGTTTAAGGTTATGAAGGACTGGTCGATTGTTATAGCAATTATACGTTTTTTTAATCCATAATTCCACCAAAGAATATGATATGGCAAAAGGCCTGGCCTTTCTTGAAATTCACATTTGCCGTGTGACCCAATCGCACTCGTGGCAATGTGGCTGAGTGGTTAACGTGTCGAGCTTCCATTCTGCACTGTCACGGTTCGACTCCCGCTGGGGGTGTTGTTAAGACCGATGCGTGGTTGAAACTGCAGTCCACCCTGGATAAGAACAACTTTTGGGAAATCAAGGCTATTTGAAATCATTGTGGAAAAATTCTACTACCAGTCCTTCATCACCTTAAACGGAATTGGGTGAATACATCTCATATTACTGATTTACTGGTAGTCTCGAAACTCTACTTAAATATGAAATATAATAATGCAATCATTGCAATTTTTGAGTATACTTGAGGAGGCCTTTTGCTCTTAATTAAAATCTTAATCCTATGCACTTATGTTGTTTCGATACCTGGTACACCCTTTTTTATTGAGTTGGACAACAAACCTATTACATCATAAAACGTTATATTCACTCAATGAGGGAAACCAATTTTATTCTCTATATCGTGTAGAAAAATTGGTTCCTCTAATCCAAAGTCATAGCCTTCGTAATCATAACCAATTAAATACTAATAACGATATTCTCTAATTTTTATGTGCTACTTAATTACTTAACAAAGTAATACGTAAATTTCTTTTTAGGTCAGCTTCCAAGCAAGGGCTGTGCTGCGGGCATGTATCGCTTTCATAAAGACAGATTGGTAAAATGCACGGAAGTATCATATTCTCTCGGTGTTAATTCTCGCATTTATCTATTTGAACCTCTACTTTCTGTAAAGAGTAGGTCAAGAATATGGGATAATTTGCAAATGTGGGAGGATGCTTTTTTCGATAGCATCGCCCAGGAACGAGATATCATTGGTAATATTTGAAATAGTATATTTAACAAAATATACTAATTTAATTGTTTTTTATTGATATTGTCTATTCTGCTTATGCCAAAACTACCAAGTAAACTTTATATATACTTTTGATGCTTTTTTACATTCTATGTCTACTTTTCACTTATCTATAAGCGACAATCTTTATTTGTGCTCTTGATATACATGATACATATAATAATGCATCTAAATATTTCTAAAATGAAAATTATTCCCTCAATTTTAAACCTAGTTATTTTTTATCTCAATTAGGTTCTCTCAGCTTTACAAGCCCTTACCCATGCAAGAATATGCAAAAATACTTCCAATTATCAATATAATCACTACTACGAGATACGTAATTTGAGACTATTTATGTTTGCTCTCTCAAGAGCCTACAGCATTTTCATATGGCTGCAGAATCATTATTATGTATCATATGGGCTTTTATGTGTAGCTATATTTTGTCTAAGAAAAATCGATTCTGTGTTTTATAAACCCAGATGAATATTGGTTGAATTAATTCATAAATCAGCTACTATCTGCATTCCTGCTTTTCACATCTTCACTAATTACTGTGCAATGATAGCTAACCTTTCACAGTCCATAAATTAATTCGCTTCTACCATAATTCAATGTTATAAAATCTCCAGGATATAGAAAATGGCTTTCTCCAATCGTTTATGAACTGTAGATATGAAGAGAAACTGGGTTTCGATGAATATCTTGAGATAATATTGTTAAGAAGACTTTCAGTTCGCACTTCTTATATAGACTCACCTAGACAGATTGATATAGAATGGTTTGGTAAATTTTCTTTCATATTGGTTCCTTTATTTTTGCTCGCTTGTATGAATATGTGTATTTGTGCGTGTTAACTTCTATATGCAATACGGTTCCTAAATCAGAGTTGTCAAAGTTTTAATCTCATGTCCTGATCCTCAAGACCTAATGACCTAAGAGAAAGCCTTGACTGAGACATTTTAGATCCGTAAACAAGTATGGTTGAGATAATGAGATATGAGCTTGTAAGCATTAAAATCAAGTTAGTAAACCAGTTGTCCTAACCTTTCAGTCTAGGGTCATTAACGTTTAACCCTCCAAGGAAAGGCAAGACTGAGGATGCGTAATTTGAAATGTCTGGTTTGGTTAATGAGCTTATTCTAACACTTTGGACGAATGGGTTAAACGTTAATGACCCTAGACTGAAAGGTTAGGACAAATGGTTTCTTAACTTGATTTAATGTTACAAGCTCATATATCATTATCTTAACCATACTCTTTTACGGACCTACGCAGTCTAGATCAAGGCTTTCTCTTGAGCTATTACGTATTGAGGATCAGAACCTGAGATTAAAACTTTGACAACTGATTTAAGAACCGTATTGCATATAGACGCTAACACGCGCAAATACACATACTCATACAATCGAACAAAAATAATAGAACCAGTATGATAGAAAATTAACCAAACCACTCAATATCGATTTATCTAGGTTTTAAAGTTTTTTTGGCTTAATTGAGTCTATATGAGAAGTAAGATAGAGCCGGATAGTGTTATTGGCCTAGTGTTAATGTGAGACCCCAGCTCTGACGATGTCCATCACATGATGGACGAAAGCCTAGCACGTTGTCACTCGAAACGAAGGAGGAAGTCTTGTGGACTGCGTCAAAACGAATATCGTATAAAAGCCAAACGGCTGTAGTACAACGAGATTCATCCGTCCTCATCTGGTGAGATCGACAAACGAATATCTTCTTCATTCACTTTCATGCGAACTGATAGTCCCCCTAACATTTACTAACTGTTTCAAATATTGCACTTGGATCTTACTGGTTTGCTTCAATCATATTATTTTTCCCAATGGTAATGCTGTAACAGAGATGCTTTTGTACTTATGGTTTTCTTGAAACAGGGAGGATCAACATAGAATTTGCTCTTGCTTATTTTGACCTTTATTTAATTCAGAAGCAAGATTGGTCATCTTATTATGAACAAAGCCTGTGCTTCTTGTCCAGAAAAATTGATTTTTTTCGAAGCTTCGAAGGAATCTATGAGTAGCTATTTTTCATGATTGGAATGCTATGGACCACCTCTTAATCTTCATTTTTGCTTTGGAAAGTATTCTCTTCTAGATCCTACTATTAATAGCAGAGCTGTAATAATTTAAGATTATATTACTTTCATTTGCATAAATTATCATGACAGGGGGCTCTAAGATTCATAGTTGTAATTTATTTTTTTATTGCATAAAAATTTGAGTCTTACTCTGGCCTAGATTTCTACAGAATCTAATTTTAGAGTAACCATGCTTCATTATTGCAATTATCCCACTATAACATGAGGGAAAATACCGTTAAATATCTAAAAAAAAACGTAGGAATTATTCTTTAAGCGCCTTCGCATTATTCATATACCTAAATTTTTATCATTTTACAACCTGTACACAGTTTGTTTCTGATTTTTATGAAAAATATCGCACATTCAGATGGCTAATTGGTTCGACTTGTCTTTTATCTAGCGATAACTATTTACTACATGCGTTCTCCACATCTACTCTTATCTTGTTTATGATTTAGTGGATTATAATAACTTTATTCTCCAGAAAAATTATTTAGGACAAATAAATCTTAAGTAGCTTTATAATGCTTACCCTACACAAACCCTAATTATAAATTGATCTCATTCGCTTTGCTATCCTTTTCATTCCATTTTCTACAGGTCTAGATCAGGCGCCATTGGAGTCAATGGCTCATTATCAGAGTCTTGGACCGAATGAACGGCGTCAGTTAGAACTGGATGAAGACCGTCTTCTGGCTGTGTTATTACACAATCTCTTTGCCTCCATGATAATGATGCGAGTTGATCGCGCACAGTTGCGTGCTCATATTCGTCGTTGGCAGGCCAGGTGTCGACTTAGCTTGCATTATGCTCAGACCGTTTCTCGGCTGCTTGAGGCTATGCCTTATCTGGTTGGTTTAATGACTATAGTTATGATCATTTTTGCTTTAATTTGGTTAGTCTATTTGAATGAAGTGTTATTTAATAATATACTATTTCCTAGCAGATATGTTATTGCCTGGGATCATTTTTTTATCAATGGACTTTTATAAGATTTGCGATTATAGTAAATCGTTGCAAATTTTACAGCTACTTTTTCAGTTAAGCTACTTGGAGTAAATTATCCGCTTATATTCGCGGCTGGCAATGACCATGTACGTGCCAGCCTATCTAAAAGCTTATTTTGAACTTCTCTTAGAGCTAAGTTCCAATTATTATTTATGGATTCCCCAATCCTATAAATAACGGCTTAGGGTTTGGACTAAATACACAGGAGGATATGGATAAGGAGGGGAAAGCTATTTATTCTTCCTTTACTTTGCATTTAATCTCGGAATAAGAGCTCTTACAAATTATTTAATTGCAATTTTAGCTGTTGCGATGATAGTACATCTAGAATAGCATTATTGGGATTAGCTGTGAGTATTTACTTGCATTATTGTTACCTTACTTTTTTATATACTAAATCATATTCTTATTATTGAAACATATCTTGGTCTAATAGTTATTCATTCTCTTCCTATGCTGACTCATCGTCCAATTTGCTTTAATTCTATTGTTGGTATGTAACTCTCAGAACGAAAATATTTCTATTTGTGGCTCACAGATAATCCAGATAAAATCTTACCTTAGGTTTGTAGCGCGAATTTTCTGGTGAGTTTCGGATGCAAGACGGGTAAATTATTTAATATTGAATATTTTACACTTAGTTGTTTTGTATCACTTTGTTGGATAGATTTTTATTTTGTATGAATATGCATGATGAAGAGATTAATAATTAATTAATTGATTAATTTAATCGGAAGGCGAGGGCCTATTCCCAATGTTCGTCATTTCCTTGGCTTCAATACGACTTTCATGTTTACGCAGTCCACAATACATTCTTTCTTGTTTCGGATGAAACTGAGTTAGTTTTTATTTAAAACTTAATGATAAGAAAATGTCATACCTAGATCCCATCAATCCCTGGTTAAGATAATGAGGTGTATGCCTTTGCACGTATAGATCTGGTTACAAAACCTTTCATAACACATCAATCTATGGCCATTAAGGCTTAAAGACCAGGGAAAGGCATGACTGGGATTTCGTAATCTCGTCATTCTGGCTTTGTTATCGAACTTAATATACAAGTTGAACGAGTATGGATATGGTTTAAACCATCAATAAGCTGAGTTACGTTACTTTTTTTGGATGGCGGCCAACAACTCTTCATTATTTTTATCAGGTATAATTAGTTCTTAATCATGTCCAGTCTCTGACATGTGTTCGGCTATTTCTTACCGTTAGATCCAAATGCTTTCACGAGCATTTTTGTTCTTCTAGCCTTGAGCGTAAAGGCCTCTACATCTTACCAACATGAGGTCGATCAGAGGAGCACATGGTCTTGTAACAGCTGGATCATGTTAATGGGTCAATTTTATTAATGAAAGTTGGTATAAACGTAAAGGCGTCAGGGTTTTTTAAGCACTGATTTTATTTTATAACTTTTTTATTTGTTTAATTATTTTCTTAGTAAGCAGACATGAGGGCATAATTAGGGCATGAGTAAAGTACTCCACTTGTAAATCCTTGACTAAATAGTCTCGTTCTGAAACGTTATTTCTCAGTCATTTTGATATTAAGGTTTCATTGCTTTTCATTACGAAAAAAATATATTGGAAAGAAATGGTCTCACCTTAAAACAAAGGAGGATTGACGCGGAATAAAGACTGCTGAATTATGAGAAGGGGTTCCCGGCCAACCATCTTGCGACTCCGATGAACATGTTCTGAATTTACTTTGATCAAGCAGGAATCAATATTCTACGAAGTATGGCGAAATTTAGTCAAAACAAAATAAAAGTATACTAATAAAAGGAAAAAAGTACACTTAATCTTACGATCTTAATGGGGCATGCCTTTGTCGACTACTTACAACTTTACATGCTTGCAGATCAGTGAAGTTAATTCACAAACAGAATTGGATGTAGTGGCATCTTTTTCTCTACACAAATAAACTAGCATACGATCCTCTAATATTGACTGGTGTATAATAATGTGCTATTGTCTATTATGTATCTAAAGTTCAGGTATTGATAGGTGTCATAGTCCTAGCTAACTTTGAAGCTAATCCACCTTTTTTCTTTTGCGCATTGAATCATCTTGTTTACCCTTTCTCCCTCTCATTACGCATATCTAACGGACACGTATAGTTCCTATTAAATTTTCTATACTTGTTTCTTCTATTCAGGTCGTTGGCTGATTTGTTAATTTCTATCGCCTTTGTGTTTTGACGTGAAGTCGACGTTGTGTTTTGCACCAATCTATTGAGTAGGCTTTGTTAGCCATGTCTTCAGCGAGCGCAGATTTTTGGTTACATAGAAATTTTTTACTCCTTAGTAGACTAAGCGCTTATATTTTTTCTCTTTAATATCCCAGGGAATTCATCCAAACTATCTTTGTACTGCCACCAAACAGCAAAGTAATCGTCCATAGAACAAAATAATAATGTTGAAACTAGAAATGCTTCTTGATACATGCGAACTTCAAATTAAGCAATGGAATTATTAGCAAAATAAGGGCTAAAGAGCCGATAGTTTTGCCCCGTGTTTATTCATACAACTTGCCATTGAAGAAAAAACATATATTATTAATGACAAAATTGACTCATTCAATGATTGCATTTTTGCACAGCTTATGAACCGTTATTATATTAGGATTCTAATCAAAAGTTAACTCTAAAGCCTTCATTTCCTCGTTTATCGAAATATTTATGTACATAGACACTACATCTAAACTTTGCCGTAAATACTGTTCTATCGTCTGATCATCAACTAATTTTATGAATTGATATCAGCTCCTTATCGATAACTTCCAAATTTCGGAAATTTGTCTTAACTGATTACAAATAAAACGTTATATTTTCTGCACCACCTTAACTCTATTACTTATAATGATGCTAAATTGGGTATCCTCTTATAAATTTTGGGCAGATCATAGACGTTTGTGTGCCTAGCAGCCCGCAGGAAAAGTGCATTCATTTTCCACTTTTCACATTTTTCGTTGTTTAGACATTGCACCAAGAAACCCATTAAATTGACCTTAAGATCTTCTGTCTAGTCCTTAATTATTGTTTTATATCTTTTGTTGTTTTATGTCTGCAACATATTTTCTACAAAGTTAATCTTACCATGAATACTACTATGACTACT